GCTAGCGGGAAATGAAGGCCTTCCGTGCTGCACCTTTCCTCTCCAAGCAAGAGCAAAAGGAAAGCGAACAAAAATTTACCTTACACCATGTACATCTACCAGGCAGTTGTCGCTTGTGCATAACCGCGCTGTTCGCAACTTCCTGTATGCAGTTCATACCACTGTCACTGAAAAAGCTGGGGTGGCAGTTTCGGATGAATGCACTGACTGAGTCTGTAGAACATGGTAGAATGCAGACCCCCAGCTACATGTACATGTAGTTGTCGTTGGATCCTCTAATAATAAGCCTATATATATGTTTACAGGTTGAGAAATTCTCACCTTTTGCTTGTTTTGTATTGCCACTGAGGCGAGAAGCAGGAAGTAACAGAAATTTAAATGTATGAATCGATGACGGTAGATCTACGAGGTTGGGATATTTGCTGGAACTCAGTAACAACGAGTTAATTACGTTAGTTACTTTGAAATCATTAGCCAACCTCACCCGTGATAGGGTACGAGGGTATGCAAGCCCGTCACCCAAATGGTCACCTTGCGTTGCTCGCGCCCAGCGGCGGTGTTTGGCAGGCTGTAGACATCACTACGCGCGATCTCCCAACGTGGTAGACCTACCATCTACAAGTAGTAGAGTCTACTGCTCCCTAAATGGCCTTCCTGATAACTAAACCGCTTTCGGCGTAGTGTGGAATCGGCTTGCTGGCAGCCGTCAACATGGTCACCCTGGGGACTGGGGCCGAAAAAAAGGAAAGTTAGTTAGCCGGGTTCGCGGCCGCATCACCTGACGTCTGACGTGTTTATCACATCAAACAAATACAATGTCATTCGCGCAAACCAGAGTGAAAAAGCTACACTTTTGAAGTTTGGGGTCACACCTGGTAACCCCATCGAAGTAACTGTAGGTTCCACAAGCCAGTAAAATTATAAAGAGGAAAAATCTAAACTCATTCACTTCATGCACGGTTGCTGTTGAAGAGAAAGTTGATTGGGATGGCTGGGGCACGGAGCTATCGTCGCTGCAACGGCCGGGATGTCAGTCGATCGAAGAGGCCCCACTTATGCCGCATCATCATAGTCTGGCGGCGCTAGCACGGTCTGTCTTACATTCCGACTAGGATTGCCGCCGCTGCGCTGACCGGCAAGGGCTGCACTACTCAAGTTGGCTGATGAAGCAAGTGCTCCACCGATGGAGCGAGGATCGGATCGGTCGGCTGAGAATGACATGATCGTCCCGGCGTGCCGCGCCGACTGCCGAGGCTGCCTGACGCACTCTAGACTGGCCACCAGCCGTTAAAAGGCAGTCACAGAGAGAATATTGATTTGAACTTCTGGGGGAGAGGCGGACACCACTGATCAACCCTGGAGTTCATTTCTTTTTTATAATTTCTATTTCCATTTCACTCTCTCACTATGTCCCAGCTCACTTCACTCGTATTCGTCAGCACCCGCAAGTTCGAGAGGAAGGTGCAGGCGGCCACAAGGTATTGACGAATTTGCAATGTTCGACAATCCGGTGACGTACATGGAGGTTTGCGTATCCGCGGCATCCACAGCTAGCTGGCACTTGGTACAACGAGCGTGGTGCCGAAGGGACAGGCTTCCGGACAGGGAATGTCTACTTTCCACTCACCGCAATCCTTACAGTTGGCACTCTGGAGATAGAGAGAAGAGAGTCGGTATGTTAGACGACCTTGTCCTATTCGCCGTATCACTGACAGTGACACTGTGTCCATGAAATGTGTGGTTCCGATCAGGCATGCTGAACTGCCGCGGACGTAACCGTCGTTGTATGGAGTCACATTGGAGTGGCACTTGGCCGGTTAGTTTGGTGTGGATGATGTTGGACTCTAGACATAGCTACTTTGTGTATGTGCATGCAGTGTTCACTGACTATCTGTATAGGAGAGTGGACTGTCTGTACACTAGAGTGCAACTGGTCCACGAGAGTTTGTCATTGTCCCTGGTGGTGACATGCTTGGCATTTCCTTTTAGAATTCGGACAGTAGGTCTACTGGTGACTAATCTACAATCGTGTACGTCTGTAGTCTATACCATGCGGACATGATCATTACCTAATCATTCAACAACCGATTTGGCAGTACCAGTACATGTGCAAGGCGAAACAAGGAAATCCTGAGTCAAGGGACTGGTAGTCAGGTGGATGGTAATCACAGTTTGATACTGATTGTTGTTGGTTGTGATTATTCCTATTCATAAGCTACGCCGCATGTGTGCTGGGTTGAGAAGTGGCTGTCATGACGTCAGGCACTCACTGACTTCAACCAGTATACTGTGGAGAAGTTGTGCACGGCATATTTCACAGTTTACACTTCTAAGTGTCTCTTCCACGCAGTCTGTATCTGTGCTGTATGCTGGCAAGGCCATGTTTTGGATATTTTTCTCTTATTATTTTAAACAGTTGATTTTTGTTGTCACACGGCGGTGCTCACCGCATTGCACTGTCTAGTTGTGTGTATACTGCCACGGCTGTAACTGGTCACTCATAAGCCATACGTGTTGCTCTGGTGTGTGTGTGTGTGTGTGTGCACGTGCATGAATGCATGCATAACGTTACTAAATTTGTGAGAGACCATAGTTCACTTCCTCGGGAAATGGGGAAGAGTAGTGCAACTATCCATGCGCTGTTTGCCTTCGACCGGGTGTGAGGCCAAGTATACCGGTCCAGAACAAGAGGAGCAGAGACTTGACCATGGGTGGTGGCTGCAGTGTGGGCACCATGGGCGCGCAAGTTAAAGCGGTCTCCATGGTCTCGCAGAAGAGGACTAGCAAGTCCATTCAGGCAGCGGTAAACAAATACATAGGTTTTGAAGTTGAGGCGTTTCTCAAGGGTGTAAAAATTAGTATAACTGTATAAAAGAGTGGTGGGGGTCATTCTATCCAACGAAAATATTCTCAACGCTATGCGGCTGGCAGTAAGAAGCTTGTCATAATAAAAAATATATATTATAGGGTAACAACTATAGCAATGGTTTTGCCACACATGCAGCTGGTGTAGGATGTTAGCTGGACCTTTTTGCCTAGCCCCTATCACGAGCGATGCTCGTATGTACAACGGAGAGGTAGGTATTTTACTACTACCTGGCAACGGAGAGGTAGATATTATACTACTACCCGGTAGTGGCATACATGCACTATTATTAAAGGGGAAGTCCGGTGAAAAATTTAAATTTCAGGGTTGGTAGAGTTTCGGGCGCTGAGTCGAATGGTGTTGGTCCCACGTGTCTCCGACAAAGCGTTCTCGAGATATTTCCGTTTGAAAAACTGAGTTTCGGGGGCTGCGCCATGACGTCATGCGGCCGCGCCACACCCTCTGCAACGTCATAGCGTGCAGCTAGGTCAAAAGGAGTGCGTGAAAGCAATAGTGTCAGTGCTATTTCAAATGATTTGGCGACTGATATTAGGTGGTGCAAGCGACCCCGAAGACCTGTAACTCCTTGTGAGAGTGAGGATGCAGCCATGGCTGACCTTCATGAGTTCGGTCTGGGGCTGAGAACCTCGGTATTCAGCTGAAGAAATGGCCGCGCGGGCCCGTCAAGAGTTACTGAGTTTCCGACTGATGAAGAAGCAGCAGCTATTGCAGACGAGGCTGATGAATTATCAGATCGCTGGAGAGCAGGGTCGCCAAAATGGAGAAGAGTGATGCGAGTGCTCTAAATGTTGTTCCTGAATCCATACCGATTAGATTCGCTTAGACTCCAGTGGCCTGCCACATGGTGATGTTTTGGTGCGAACTTGGAATATTTCGGACTACTCATTTGGAGAACAGTGCAGGCTCTTTGAACCACGAGCACGACTCTTCGCTCGCAACGCTATGGAATCTGACAGTTCTAGGTCCGGGAGCTGTTCCCTGTTTTGTCACTTGTCACGGTTGTGCACTCATCGCTGTAGCATAAAATAATGAGGCAGGAGCGGAAAACTAAAATTTTCTTTCTCAAAGCACAATCACCGGCACCGGCAAGGAGAAACGCACGTTCTCTGACTACATGACTGTACAATACGACTGATACGAGTGTAGTACATGACAAGTCCGTGTGTTGACTAGTTTTCTGAGTCTTGTGTCAGTTGTGACTCGAGTCTTGTTGTAGATACTACCCCAGCACGGCAGTGCGGGAGTAGTTCCGTCTGTGATGAGTTTGTTGACTGCACCACAGCTAGATAACACACTGCACGCACTGCATGCACGCAGCGCACAGCGCGTAGAGGCTGACGGAAAAAGTCCAACTCGGAAACGGCTAAAATATGGTATAACCTCGAGGTTTAGCGAGCTGAAAATCACAGGGTATGTAGTGTTTGTAACACTGAATCGAATGGTCTTGGTCCGAAGAAGCTGCGACAAACAGTTCCCCAATCGAACGCGCTCCGAATATGGCCATTTTTGTACACAACTAGATGGTGTGGCTACCTGGCTGCACGCTGTGACGTCATCACCTGGATCTGGGTGATGCGCGCTCAAATTCGCACATGTTCGATTGGGCGTATCTGACGAACCATAAGCCGCAGCCTCCTCGGACAAAGACCATTCGACTCAGCGACTCGAACTCTACGGACTGTGAAATTTAAATTTTTCACCGGACTTCCCCTTTAAACAAGGAACAAGAGCAGACAAATGAGTACCCACTTTGTCATTGGGAGTCCACAGGATAATCGGATTGATGACCGTCTGTGCGTGTGTGTGTGCATGCACGTGTGTGCATAAGTCAACGCGGTGTTTCACTCCGGCAATACATAGAAGTCCACACTAGCCCTACAGGCACATTCCCATGGCACTGCCGCCTACGCAATGAAGCTGCAGGTACTGCCGCACTCACAGTCTCAAAAAGAGAAAAATACCCGAGAGGAAAAATTGCACAGGTTCGCGTACAGGGCCGGTCAAGAACCGTCTTTCCGCTCCCGTTGGACGCCATCACCCCATGATCAGGTGTCAGATGCGGCTCCTAAATGGTGGGGGAGGATAGATCAGATCCACCAAACAGAGGCCAAAATCCCATTAATATTTTTATTTTGCCACATCCATACCGGAGGCAAAGAAAGAAAAATGTGTTAGGAGGTGAAGTGATGATGATGAGAGACGGTGGCGCCAGCGTATCTCCCGCTAATCTAAGTGCGAGAGAGTTTGAGTCAACCAGCGCTCTCCTAATCAAAATAGGATTTGCATCATATCAACATGCATGGCATCGAGTGGTAACTATGGCGATCCACTGAGGTCACATGATAAAATAATAATGATACTGTGTTACCGCGGCAAGTATGATTGAAATTGCTATCTGTCACTAAATACATTATTACCTGTGATCACCCCAATGGATGCTGTGCCGCTGGCTTGCCAAACAAATTGGACAATCAACGTAATGCATCCAAAAGTACAATTCACTCACATGTACATCATGCACGCATTCGAAGTCTAATTTATAAAATATGCCATATTCGGAAGAAGAAAAAAGGAACAGAAATATGACGTGGCTGGCAAAGCATTATTAGACTGATTTATCGGATCTGTGACTGAATCTGTTCGGTGATGAAATTCATATCTCTCTAGATTGCACGCTGGGCAGCTCTCTACACGTGCAGTACCTCGTATTCCTTTACGTCCGTCCGGCTAGACCTGCACACACCAGGAAAAGGCAAGAGGTCAAACACAAGAAGGGTTCGGGACCGGGACTTGGACGCCGGTGTGAATAGACAGAGAGCTGCGGCTGACGGGCACCAGCACATCGCAAGCAATACGGATGCTTGGCACAGCGGGTTTTCGTTGCCGTTTTCGGTGCTCTGCTGCGTATATACACGTATAATCACAACGTTTTCGTTTTCTTTACGCTTTAGGGGACGTCCGTAAATATCGATGTTTTTTTAGAGACGATATTTGTTCAGATCTCCCCCTCCCCCTCTCCCCCTCCCCCCTCCCCCTAATACGAACATACATACATTTATGCAGTGGACCGATATTTTTTATATTGAACGGTTTGTGTGTACAGGTAGGTACATAATACGTGCTGCAGTACTGTAGTAGTAATAATAATACAAGTCACAAGATTCAAGTGCCTGCATGCTGCATGGTGCACGAGCCGCGACAAGCAAGTACACGGTGCATACCTAAAAATAGCGTATGTGAAGATCGATATTTTTTTCCCCAAAAAACAACGAACAGCGTCAAAACCCCCTCCCCCCCCCCCCCCCCGATACGAACGAATATCGTCTCTAAAAAAACATCGATATTTACGGACGGCCCCTTATAGCAGATATGGGTCACGGAAATTCTACTTTCATCGTTGCCATGGCACTTAAGGCCTGGCCCTGAGTGATATAACAATATTATTTAGAACAAACACTAGCCAGCCCGCTTTTGTTAAACGATAGATTAGAACAGAACTCGACTGGCGACATCGTGCAGCCAATGCCAGGCAAAGCTGTTTTCACTGTGTGACTCATAGAGCAACTGTTCAATACAGGGAGTAGTGGTCTACCGGAGCAATCACGTACCATCGACGTTTGCAATAAATTCAGCACCCCCCCCCCCCCCTACTCTGTTTGCGCTCTCCCCTCCCCCCCCCCCCCCTGTGAAGAAGTGCCGCCCTCTACTCCTTTGTCGATTTTCGTGTTTCTTCATCCCATTCAACAAAATTGCAGTCGGTAGTCAATACTAGAGGGTTCATAAAGGCACATTTGTCTGGGGTGAAGTCGGGGGTTCATAAAGGCACGTTTGTCTGGGGTGAAGTCGGGGGTTCGCCCTGTATGTTGCATTTCGCATGGCAGGACGATTTTGGGAAATGGAAAAATGTGTTACGGGGTAACTGCTTCCCATGCCCCCCCCCCCCCCCCCCACCCTACTATTTTGACCTGTCTATAACCTTGTAACCGTACCTGTCTGTGACGGTGTGGTCCGCCGAGCCATTGCCAAAGTCTAGGAGATGTATGGATGGGGCACTCGCCTTGGTCTGCTGCACATCACCACCGGCGCTGGTGGTGGCGGTGGCCGAAGTGGCTGCTGGCTGGGCACCACCGTTGCTGCTGACCTGGGAATCGTACACGGGGTTGCTGATGGCCACAGCGCCGTCTCCGTTCTCCACCGCGGCACCGTGCTTCACATCGCCAGAGAATTCCCTGCGCCAGGACAGCAAACAACCATCGCAGCAACTACATCAGTGTCCTCCTAAGACTACCTGTAAGTCAGTTATATTTCGTGGTCGTTGAAATTTCTTTTAAAGATGTCGTAAGGCTCCCGTTGCTTGCCAGAGATTTGTGACACTCCCTGCACAGTACCGTATGTACTATGTATGTATGTACTATGCATGTACTATGTATGTACTATGTATGTACTATGTATGTACTATGTATGTACTATGTATGTACTATGTATGTACTATGTATGTATGTACTATGTATGTACTATGTATGTATGTATGTACTATGCATGTACTATGTATGTACTATGTATGTATGTACTATGTATGTACTATGTATGTATGTATGTATGTACTATGCATGTACTATGTATGTATGTACTATGTATGTATGTACTATGTATGTATGTACTATGTATGTATGTACTATGTATGTATGTACTATGTGTATGTATGTACTGTGTATGTATGTACTGTGTGCATGTATGTATTGTGTGCATGTATGTACGCGTAGTAGCCCACGACCGCTGGTATTTACTGAAGTTTAACCCTCTCAGTGCCACGGGCGACTTTAGTCACCCAAAATGAGTATGTGTGTACAAATAAATTCGTACCTCCACTTCTACACACAGGAGAGTTACAAACGACCTCTCTACGTCTTCAGGAAGACCTTGGCTATCGACTCATCACATCGTTTTGTGTCCGTGAGGATAGATATCGCCAGGGCGAAGCCTGAAGCGCGCGCGCTCGGACAAACAATTGTTGCCCGTAGAAAACATGACGTATGCGCATCGTGTGTTTCTCTATTTTTTCGCGGCAACCCATGCGTATTGGGTATCAAAACATCGAGATTTTCAGTGGCTTTCAGGCCAACTTTGTCCGAATTTCGTGCGTTGAAAGTTGACTGTACTGCGATTGATCGCGCGCGTGAGAAAGTGCAGATGCTACGAAAATGCAGAAAACGGACTTCGCTCAGGCGCCCTCGCGAGGAAGACTATTTTCGCTGCATTTTCTCTTCACAGCTGTCTGCCTGGCCATGATATCTTTCCAGAGAGCCATCGTTTGTAAAGATCCGTGGATATACAGCTGAGCTATGAAAAATTTGAGTTCAGCTCAACTCCGAAAAATTTGAATTTTTCTGACCCCCTTGGCACTGAAAGGGTTAATAGATGCGAAGTGTTCTTTTTCTCAGTTTACGAATATTGTTCGCTTCAATACACAACTTACGTCACTGCAGCTTCATTGACCAGAGCTACGGGCTCGCTGGCGTCCAGTGCAGATGCTTTCTTCTTCTCCGCGCCGACCGACGAAGCCATGCGCTCGCGCATCTCTATCGCGTCGATGTCTAGACTGGTCGGGTTGGTGACGACATCGCCTGATTGCACTGCGTGTTCGTTGCGGATGCTGTGTAACGACAAAGCAGAATAGAACCAGACAGCTTGAGTAACTGAGGTACATATTGAAAAACAATTGAAACCAAAATTGAAAAAAACATTTGAATAGGGCAAGAAACCCCAGGTAAACTGTGCAGAACCAACGGTTGTATTTCATTTTGTTTGCCGAGCCACTTCTACTGTATGGTCATTGGTCAATGATAGTTTAGTGGGGCTGTGATTGCTAGAAAAAAACAATCCGCCTGCCGCTTCCGTAGCTCCAGGGTGCAAATTACAAGCGAAACATTCCCGGTTCAGGGAACACTGCTTACCTGATCTTTCTCAGAGTGGCGGAGCTTGTGTAGCGGCCTTCCTCGTCGTCAATCGGCGAGTCCCGCGGCCGCGACAGGATGGTGGAGCGCTTCTTGATCGGCTTGTCGCCGTTAATCTTGTAGCCACTGCTGACGACGTCGTACACTTGCATGCTGCGCACGACAAGGCATGATGCCACATGGCAACACATGACACAAGGCACGGTGCACACAGTCAGCTTGTTGGCACTTTAAAAGGGCAAACAAATTCACGGTTCGCATGAGACTAGGTTGGAGGTAGAGTTTTTCGCATGTGTAGGATTGTCACCACCATGTGAAGCGGTGATTGACATCACTTATTAATACTAGCAAGAGTAGATAAACAAGAGTGTACAACTGCGGATCTCTCCCGCCCTGTAGATACCCCGGGCCCACAGCGGAATTTTTTTGTTGACGCCACCTTTTTTTCAGAAAAACGCGCATGTTGCCGCAGAGCAGTGTGAGCGCACGTGCTGGGCGCCGGCCTTGTAATGTAAAGCCCGGCCTTGTAATGTAAAGACCGGCCAAGTGCACGAGGGAAAACTTTCCAAAAGACTCACAGTGCATGCGTCGTAGAAAAGATTACGTCAACAAAAAATTCCGACGTGGGTGAACCCATCCGCGAGTTGCACACTCTTGTTTATCTACTCTTGGTACTAGTAGTACTTACTTTCTCCTCCTGTAAAGGAAGACGACGGCAGCAATGAACGCAATACCGACAAGAGCAGCCAACGTGGCCACGATGGGTACATACGCTGGCACCGAGTCTGAACAGGACAGTCAATACACACGCCCACACGTGCACACACACACACACACACACACACACACACACACAGGAATGCAGCGTCAGTTGGGCATTCGCTAGTCATGCATGTCTAGCAAACATGAATCGGGAGGCAGGCAGAATGGCAGTGCCGCATGCATCTTTACTACAGTTGGAATTCACAGGAAAAATCTGAGCCAATGTCCTACACCTCCCCTACCCGCACCCTACCCGCACCCTACCCGCACCCTACCCGCACCCTACCCACACCCTACCCGCACCCTACCCACACCTTACCTGCACCCTACCCACACCCTACCCACAACCACTACGCGCCGGTGTGCACAATGCCCTGGTAACCTCCCACCACTGCGTGGACACGCCTTGAGCACACTGCTTCATGTGGGCCTGAAAAGAAAGAGAGTGTATGGGAGGGAGGTTCTTTTCCCAGTCTATGAACAAACCCACACATCTGTCAAACATTCGTGTTTCAAGAACAAGCATGCATCAATGGCACGGCGATACACACTGAGTGTGTTCGTTTACGCCTACAAATCGAATCATGAATGGAATCTGGTGCACTCAAATCGTTCGATTTTCATGTCATGAGCCCTGGAATTGGTTCGGAATCCATTCACCCTATTCACATGGGGTGATGCGAATAGCCAGGGGTGATTCTTGAACGGATTCAACATCGACTCGTGGGCAAAATTAAACGCACTCAGTGCTACACCTGCCTCGACCAGTCAAGACTTACCGCTGCCTTCTGCACCACCAGTGGACTGTGTCGGCTGCTGTGAGCTGCTGCTAGCGGCGGAGCTTGGCATGCTCACGGCCTGTGTGGTGGCGGCGGTGGTGGTGGGCGGAAGAGTGCTTGGAGCGGCCGTGGTCATTGTCTGGACTGTGGGGTTGGTATCCACTGCATGAGACACCAACACGCACCAACAAAAAACACACCTTACAGGGAGATCGTTGAGAGACCAACACGCACCAACACACAGCGCAGGAGCATCACGCACGATACGGCCAGTACGACCATGGTCGTACCACATTTCCGGACGGTCCGCCCAGAGCGCCTGCAGAGCGCTAGAAAGTGCCCTGTTGGCCGGATAATCCGATTGAGGGACACCCCCCCCCCCCCACCCACCCACCACCACCCCTCGTACCACAGTGAGGCATTACAAGACGCCAGTACAGCTAGCGCACGCTCACAACTGCACATACCTGAACACCACAAATCCGTTGATCGCCGGCCCATAGAGAGAGTGCTCAACGTCATAGACAGAGCTTAGTACATAGCAGACTCAGTGGAGGCCGTCCAGGTTGGTTATAACTCTGAGTTTCATGCTGCTAGGCAATCATCAGACAACTATTTTGTATTGTATTTGTATTTATGGATTCTCCACAGGCCTTAGCCTAAATCGAGGGCGTCTCCGTCTATACGTGCATAAACACCTGAAATCTAGAACTAAGTTGTTCAAGTAACACACACACACACACACACACACACACACGCACACACGCAGACACGCACACACACACACATACACACACGCGCACACACACACACACACACACACACACACAAACACACACACCACTTACCACTGCATACGAATCCGTTGCCAAGGAAGCCTGATTCACACTGACACTGGTAGCGAGCTGGCAAGTTGGTACAGGTGGCATTGTCATTACAACTGTCAATGTTCAGAGAACATTCATCGATATCTGCACATGAACACATGGGTACATGCACACACGCACACGCACACACACACACACACACACACACACACACACACACACACACACACACACACACACACAGGCGCGAGCGCGCGCACGAGCAAAAAGCATGACGTACTGTAGAAAAGTCTTATACCTTGCTGCGCAGCCAGTGTGTTCCAGGTCCGTTGAAGAAGCATTCTACTCTTCTCATACGCTTCCCGTACTATAGCCGATTTTCGTTTCTATTTCTATTGTCCACTAACTGTTACCCATGTACATGTCTGGAACAGCCTTTACGTACTCCTGCCAATACCATGTACTTGTAAGTACATCGTATTACCTGAAGTCGAAGTGAACATGGGCAAATATTCACTATAGTATAGAAAACGGGAGGGGGGGGGGGGGGGGGGCAGGGTTTGTAGAACTGGGGAGTACTCTAATTCCAGAAATTTTTGGTGCTCAATATTTTCGGTATGAGGGCAAACGGCCAGGTTAGGTAAACGGAAATTTTAGGTACAGAGAAGCAGTTCCCTATTGGATTGTGTGTGTGTTAGTGTTTGTTCAGTGTATTGAAATTTTAGGTATGAAACAGACGCACCGAAATTACAGAAAATAAAAGTACACCGAAAATTGGTGAAATTACTGTATTCTCCTTTATACCTCACTCCATATACACCTACAGTCCTAGGCATGCCCTCCCTTAGTCACAGTGGTGTATATATCTCCATAATTATACTAACCTTTGATAAATACCCGCACTCATTAGTGGCCAAACAATCCTCTCCCTCTAATCAGTGCACTGTCTCCGGGCCACCCCCCCCCCCCCCCCATCACCTCACTGTCTCCAGGCCATACAGCCCCCCCCCCCCCCCCGCCCCGACCCCCAGTTGCTTCCCGCTCCTGCGCGTCGTACATGTACTCACCATCGCACTGCACTCCCGTCCCCGTGTATCCGGTTCGGCAGCGGCAGCTGAACGAACCGGCCGTGTTGGTGCATGTAGCCTGGGCATGGCACGGCAGCGGCACGCTGGCGCTAGCGGTGGTGGTGGCGCATTCGTCGATGTCGCGGCATGTCGTCGGCGTAGGGCTGGAGTAGCCCGCGGGGCAGGTGCACGTGTAGGAGCCGGCCGTGTTGTTGCACGTCGCCACGCGGTCACAGCGCTGCGTGCCCAGAGCACACTCATCGTTATCTGCACACCAGCATCAAAATAAGAAAAACAATTATAATGATGATGGACTCGGATGGAGAGTCAAGGATACATTTATAAAAAAGAAAAAGGACCATGGAACTACAAGTTATGCTTTACTGATGTCTACTAACACCACTGGTTACCAGTTACAGCACCGCCGGTCAGTGTCGTGCAATGTCATCGCAGGAGCTGATTGTTCAGTAACTGGTCGTGTTAGTGGACACACTATAGCGTAACTTGTAGTTCCTTGATTCCTTTTCTTCTCAATGAACAACAAGAGTATACATAATTGTTATGATGCAGGTGCTTTGTCCAAGTCTTGCATGCTTCGACGGATACACAACAACAAGTGACAGTGTTGTGTATCGGTAGAAAGACTTTTCAAGGCTCATTTTGTTGTGGTCCTTTCGTTTATTTTGGTTTGTTTTGCGTTCTGCTTTGACTCGTATTTGAATGGTTTTGGTTGCATGTATAGTTTGTACATGATCCAAGTGCCATAATGTTAGTCTTTTTCTTCAGTTTTCAGTTTACCTCGTCGTGTCCGGTCTTCTTGTCTGTCCGTCTCCGTCTTGTCAAGAAATTATGTAGAACTCTTAGTTCAGTTTCGTTGTTGTGTGTGGCGGGTCGGATGGGCAGGGAGGCTGGGCCCCTGACGCCTGGACAACATGTGCGCGTGCACGAAAGACAGACTATTGGATGGCCAAACCGACGACAGAGTGCTGCTAAAGAAAAGAGCAGGTTGAACCCGATACCAAGAGTAGATAAACAAGAGTGTGCAACTCTCCGGATCTCTCCTGCACAATCTGCAGATTCCCCCGCCCGCGGTGGAATATTTTGTTGACGTCACCTTTTTTTCAGAAGAACGCGCATTTTGCCCCAGAGCCGTGTGAGAGCACGCGCTGGGCACCGACTTTGTAACGTAAAGCCCGGCCAAGTGCACGAGGCAAAACTGTCCAAAAGACTCGCAGCGTGTGCATCGTCGAAAAGATTCCGCCAACAAAAGATTCCGCCGCGGGCCAACCCATCCCGGAGCTGCACACTCTTGTTTATCTACTCTTGCCGGCGATATGTATGAGAAAGCCCTGTCCAGGCGGGTAGCGAACACTCTATGAGCAGTGGAAGACCTCGACCGCCAATGTGGGACATTTCACGCAATAGCAAGACCTTTCTTTCTTCTTCACGCACGCACGCAAGCACCCGTGAAAACCACGAACACAGCGACACACACACACACACACACACACACACACACGCACACACACACACACACATATAACATCTACACACACGCACGGATGCAAGCATGTGGCGCGTAGGCTCAGCTTAGCTCACCTGTACACGTTCGCCCATTGCCAGCATATCCCACATTGCACTGGCAATCGTACGAACCCGCTGTATTGGTACAGGAGGCTGACATTGAACAGTTGTGACCACCACCAGCAGAGCACTCATCAATATCTATAGTGTACACAAGTAACAGCCAGTTCCAGAGAATATGTTTAGAGGAGAAGAATAGCAGCAGCAGCAGCACCACCAGCACCAGCACCACCAGCACCAGCACCAGCACCACCAGCACCAGCAGCAGCATCAGCACCAGCACCAGCACCAGCACCAGCACCAGCACCACCAGCACCACCACCAGCACCACCAGCACCAGCACCAGCAGCACCAGCAGCAGCAGCAGCAGCAACAGCAACAGCAGCAGCACCAGCACCAGCACCACCAGCACCACCAGCACCAGCACCACCAGCACCACCAGCACCAGCACCAGCACCACCAGCACCAGCACCAGCACCAGCACCAGCACCAGCACCACCAGCAGCAGGAGCTAAGTGTTAAATAATAATAATAATAATAATAATAATAATAATAATAATAATAATAATAATAATAATAATAATAATAATAATAATAATAATAATAATAATAATAATAATAATAATAATAATAATAATAATAATAATAATAATAATAATAATAATAATAATAATAATAATAACACGGATGCTTCACTATGTGCACCAAACCTCATCAGAGCAATCAACACCTACGTTCTGCCAGTGGTGTCCTATGGCCTTGGCACAGTCGTTCCTTGGACTGCGGATGAGCTCCGCTCGCTGGACAGGACAGTGAGGAAGGCTCTGACTGCTAGCAGGGCCCACCACCCACGTGCCTCAATCCGTCGCCTATATCTACCGCGGAGTGAGGGAGGTCGTGGCCTAGTATGCATCGTAGATCTCCATGACCGTACTTGCATCCGGCTAGCTCAGTACCTAAAGGATCGGGAAGATGTCCCTGCCCTGGCCGCTGTTCTCCAGCACCATGAATCACGTCCCTCTAGAAAATCAATACCAAAGCTGGCAAATACTGTCCTGCAGCGCCTTCGCCTGACGAGCCTGGACACCGCTAACAAAGAGACTGTTAAACAGGCCCTCAATGACAACCGCCGCCGTGACCTTCGAGCGATGCCTCTTCATGGTCGCTATTGGGCACGTCTTGATGGCATCCTGGACATGCAGCTCTCGTTTTCCTGTTTCAGATCCCAGACAATGCGTCCTGAAACGGAAGGCTTTCTCATTGCTTGCCAGGATCAGGTGATTGCCACGAGAAACAATATGCGCCATATCCACAAGAGGCATGATGTCGTGGACCTCTGTCGTGTATGTGGTGCACCCGGAGAAAATATGGACCACATCATTGCCTGCTGTCCAGCCCTGGCACGGACTGCATACATTGCCCGGCATAACTTTGTGGTCCAGGCCCTGCATCGTGCACTGTGTAAGCAGCATGGATTACCCAGCAGTAAGCAGCTGGTGCAGGTCACAAGTTCTGCCAGTTGCAAGCTGATGTGGGAGATTTCCATTCCCACAGATCGAGTAATAAAGGCGAACAGACCAGACCTGGTGCTGGTTCTGGATGATCGGGCACTGCTCTTGGACGTCAGTGTCCCACTGGACCACAGGGTCAATGAGAAGGTGCAGGAGAAGATCAGCAAATACCTGCCCTTGGCAGCAGAGCTGAGGAGGATCTGGAACAAAAAGATAACTATTGTTCCAGTTATCATTGGTGCTCTGGGTGGTGTGTCAGGAACGAGCCGCAGCCACATCTTAAGCCTTGGGCTCCACGCGTCCGTGATCCAGCGGTTGCAGCAATGTGCTATTCTGGGCACCCTGAGAATTGTGCGGTCGGTGACTGGTCATGGATGGGAGAGTGGCATGGTCGGAACGGTCGGTTGACCTTATGTTAGCCTGCCCGTAATGTCTCGATGTGTCTCAGTCTGTGTGTTTTATGATTGTGGTGCATCATGTGCTGTGTGACGAGCCGAGAGGCGTGAATTTCTGCCATATGCCCCCAGTCATGTATTGTCTTTCTCTGCATATGCCGTTTTATCTCGTCTGAGTTTGTCTTGCTTGGAGTGTCCCATGTGCAGCATGCTTGGTGTTTACTACTTGAGTAGTTCTGTTATACATGACTGTGATTTTATGTGAGTATCGAAGTTGGTATACTTGAATTTTTCTCTCATGAAGTTTATCAAAATTTGGTTCAGGATTTTCTTTTATCTTCATTGATTGGTGCTTCACCCTTGGGTCATATGGATCCCGGTGCTGTGCTTCATGCCTCCTTTCAAGCTTTCTTTTTCTGCTTTGGGAGTGAATAAAGTCGTCATAATAATAATAATAATAATAATAATAATAATAATAATAATAATAATAATAATAATAATAGAACAGTTCGCGTACAGAGCAGCAATATAGTGCTGACCTTTCCGTTTCTGTCTCTTTTGAGCTCTGCTACATGTGATGGTTGAATGTCCACGCGAAAAAAAGGAAAAGAAAAATACCCGGAGAGACATGAAAGTGCACAACCGGATAGAGATAGCTGAGTGTTTGAGCTGATAATAGCGTATTCGGTGCAGACAGTTAATAGAGCTGCAATTCACCCTGGGGAGACTCACCCATACACATGGTCCCATTACCAATGTAGTAAATAGAGCTGCAGCACCCTGGGGAGACTCACCCATACACATGATCCCGCTACCAATGTAGCCATCGAAACATGTACAGTTGAACGAGCCAAATGTCTCCGTGCACAGCGCGTTGGAGGAGCATGGTGATGATGCCATTGTGCACTCCTGAATATCTACAAGTCAGTGTATGCACACACATGCACAGGCACACACGCAAACACACGCGAACACACACACACACACACACACATGCAAACACACACAAACACACACAAACACACACACACACACATGCGCGCGCACACACGTGGGACACGGCTCCAGAAACTGCTTCCTTGTGACAGGAGATGTTGAAATTTCTAAACTCAATGAGTAATGCACATTTCCTCAGCGTGGCATTGTACAATGGGCACCAGGCACACACCAGTAATTGTTTTACGCAACCTGCCTCGAAATGTGGTGCACTTCAACCCGCTTGTCGTTCCCTACACCAGTAGATGAACCCGTTCTTCTTCATGAATGTATTCTCCTCTTCCTCTTTCTCATATCAGTATCTTCATCACTTTGCGAGACCTGTGACAGTGCGCTGGGTGAGAAGGCAGATATTACCTATGCCTACAGTCAAGAACACGGAAGCTAAACAACCAAAACCGTGAGTGAATACCAACCTTACCCTGTAATGGTTGCAGTTTCACTCAGGGGCGTCGCGTCGAACACGGTACGGTCACTACGGTATTGACCGTACCACTTTTTGCCCCAGGTACCCCGTGAATCAATAAATATGCACTGATCTGGGCTCTAAGGCTGTGTTTACATGAGGCGTTTCAACCCGGGTGGAGTTCGACCCGGGTCAGATTTCAACCCGCCATGTGCACAAAATGAATGGCGCGTTTACATGACGCATTGCGCTTGACCCGGGTTGAAATTTCGCCCCGGATTGATTTCAACCCTACCCCCAAGGCGAGGGTTGAAATCAACCCGGGGCGAGAAAATCGTACTAACGTACTTCTATGCGTATCTCGCACCAGGTTTGAATAGCAGTGCACATGCAAATTTCGCGCGAAAGGATTCACGTGACCATACGGGGACTCTAGAAGTGGACCTTTGGCGGCATATCAGTATTTGACCCAGGTCAACTGCCTTCATGTAAACGCTTACCTATTTTGTCTATCGTACAGACTTTCCAGCCCGGGTTGAAATTCTCATGTAAAAACAGCCTAAATTTCCCAGTATTTCGGCTCAGCCATTCCCTCCCCCAACAGTACACTGCAGTTCAAATCGCTGACCGTACCACACTAAAATACCTTACATGCCCCTGACAGTGAGTATGTGTCATCATTTTGCGAGAACTGTGGCAATAGGCGCAGTGAGAAGGCAGGTATTGCCTGTGCAACTGAGAAGGCACCAGGTGAACAGAGGCAGCCGCATCGGGAGTGTCCGGATGCGAGGTATTGATTCCAGGTTGTAATTGGCCCATTGTGCATTGCCAAACTGATGGAATACAGGAGTACTACGCGTGAGTAGTACACAGGGATCTGGGATACACTGCTCAACCCCCTACACGACCATGCCCAGGTAGTGGCTGTGTGGGGTGCTGATGGTACAAAATACGTCATTGTGCAATGGACTTATAGCCTTACCTGAGCAAACTCTGCCATCTCCCGTGAGGCCGCTGGGACATGCGGCGCAGGTAGCTCCAGATCCTGGTGCGGCCACGTCTGCGCACAGGACTCCCATGTAGCAGCCACCTCCGCTGAAGCAGCCGTTGCGATCATCGTTGCACGTATCTCCCGAGTAGGCTGTGTGCAAGGAACCGGACGCACCAGAAAATCTATTATATACAGTCACGCTATGAACAACAGCCAGATAATATGCCAGCAGCCATATACGGTAGCAGGGCAACCCGGTGTGGGGCTCCACAGTGATGCACACGCGTTCGAGCACACATACACACACATGCGCACACACACACACACACACACACACACACACACACACACATACACACACACACACGTGCGCGTGAGCGGTTCGTGCGCGTGTTTATGCACACACACGCGTACACCAGTCAACGGGAGAAACTCACAGAGGTTGCAGTTGCACGTCAGGCGGACAAACTGCGCCTGGCCACCGTCCTGGGACGCGTCCAGAGCTGCACACGGCTGATTATTGTTGCACGGACAGTACACGACTAACGGATGGTGTTGGCTACTAGCACCCTGCATGTCTGTAGCCACGAACGAGAAACTCAGCGAGATGTCCTCCGCTTGCGGCGTCCAATCAAACTCGTAGGAGGTCGAGTTATTTTCTGAGATGGCAGGACAGGCAAAGTGACGAACAACACAGCGGAATACTGTACAGGCGGGACATTTCGTCGGTCAATAATTTCGTCCGACTCCAAAGAAAAGGAGTTTGTCCGGTTGTAAATTTCGTCCATGGACCATAAGAGTGTATTGACAAGCTGAACAAATCGACAATAGTCCAGCATTTAATTTAGTCCAAAAGCTCCTTGGATGAAAAAGATGAAATGAAATTCAAGACGAATATTTCTGCTTGTACAGTAGATCAGCATGCAGTTAGTGCCTGTACCTGGAGATGAGGGGGAAAGCATTGCCCTCGCCTTGTCCACGCTAACACCACTTGCCCTAAACAGTCTGAGTTGACTACGGCTATGGGCTGCCTCTGCCTTTCATGCACACCTAGTAGCATGGCAGTCAGCTTGCCAGGCAACATGCATAGCAGTGTGTGTGTGTGGGGGGGGGTTGCCCGGCAACATTCATAGCAGTCAGGTTACAAGGCAACAGGCATAGTGGCTGGGTTGCCTGGCAACAGGCATAGTGGTTAGGTTGCCTGGCAACATGCATAGTGGCTGGGTTGCCTGGCAACATGCATAGTGGCTAGGTTGCCTGGCAACAGGCATAGTGGTTAGGTTGCCTGGCAACATGGAAATATTTACATTACCTCTACTGCTGATGGTTAGATTAAAGTTGACAGGGAGACGTGTTCCATTGATGGGTACCAGGGCCACGCTAAAATCGCCGTCAGAGTCGGTCGCGTTGAACGTATACACAACTCTTTTGCCCAGAACGGCATCAAAGCTCGGCAGACCGGTGATTCTCGGCGGAGTGTTTGCTGCAACAGAAAGAGGCAGCACAGACGATAACATGTATGCAATCGACTCCGGATATTGCGAACACCATTGTGCTGAAGAATTAGTTCTTTATAGCCGAAGTTCTTTATAACAGAAATGCACTTACTAGTACACCAGAAACAGGGTTGCTGAACAACGGGCTTGCCGTTCTCCTAAAGCACTATGTTACGGAATCACAGCCATTCCGTTCCCGGGACGCAAGACACAAAGGACAAGGTTTTGTTGTTTATATTTGTATATATAAAGGCATGACGAAAAACAGGGACAACTTGCTCCCATAACCATGGGACGAACAAGAAGACTGACAAAAGGGCTCTCGACAACAACACCGCGCATGCTCATATCACACATGCACGCAACTAGACGAAGACAGTTTGGGGAATGTCATCACACAGAAAAACAGTGCATCGTTTCATAGCAACTACAGTCTGTATCGGCTATAGCGTACCCTTTCGATTTCCGTGATTTTATCACTATAACCGATGCATCACTATATGCGATACGATCGATTTCTTTTTTCTTTTTCGATCGACACATGAAAGGCAAGGAAATACTTCCAGCATGTCGTTTTGACAAATGAGCATGCTGCATAGTTGACAGTGCCCGCATTTCCATAAAAAATTCTGTTATGTACATGTACATGTATCACTATAAAATAAGCAACGCGAAGAAAGTAAAAAAAATAGGGCCTTTGATATTATTGCTACATGTATTTTAAAGTTATCACTATAGCCGATAATAATATAGTGTGTTATGCATGTTTTGATTCTTTGTTGCCATCATAATATCCGATATAATATTATCATTACATCCGATAATATTGGTTATAGTGATATTTTTACTGGATAAATTACGTTTTGCTTTTGATATTTCGTACCCCTTTCACTGCCGCTGTCGACTGTAGTCGACAGCTGTAGTCGACAGCGCATTCATGCACTCCGAGTGCCATTGTCGACTTGCGTCGACGAGTAAACATGCAGTCCCCAGTGCTGTTGTCGACTTCCGTCGACAGGCAGACCTCACCCAGTTTGTGCCTCTATTTTCGAATATTGGAGATGTTTAGCCGTGGTAGACGGCCACTGGGCCCTGGAAGATGTCCATACCCATCGAAATACACTTCCAGAAGTATGTGTTGCCATTTGAAAAAAATCGAACCAGCGTCGTTGAAAATCCGCATCCGATTTTTAGCCGATCGGCGAGGAAGAAACCGGTTCTCACGCACTTCCACCTCGCTGAGTCGGTGCGAGTATTTTCCTCTTTCCCGTCAACTTTCATTGCACAGAGCATGGAATTTGGTTCAGACTTGATGCCTAGCTATTACCCAAGACTCCAGACGGCTATCCGTTGCGATAGGCGGTTGGAGTCACGGGTAGAGACAACCAGACGATAGATTCCTCGCGGACGCATTCACTGCAAACTTGACGGAAACAGCGCTGGCGGCGGTCACTGGGTCCAGAACTAAAATTTTCTAAGAATTACCACGTTACAATGGCGACCAGCACGGACAAGAGACACTGCAGGTATGTCAGCTACAACATAATTATATTCTTTCTACAACGACACCTACCTCTGGCTCAATACCTGACGATCTACTGCAAGCTGATGCGAAAGTGAATTACACCCGCGAACGCCGCGCTTGTCAACGGAACAGGGAAGCGCTTCACTCTCCGAAGTTGAAAAGTATTTGGACTGCTGCTAATTGGGAGAACAAACGACCACCATGGCGGCAGAACATTCCGCAGCCGTTCACCGACACGATCCGCTTCACCAAACGACTTACGAACGTTTCGTTCTCCGAGTTTTCTGGTGGCAGCAACAAGAATTTCGTCCGCAACGACAGGACGAAAGTCTCTCGCAACTGAAGTCCTGTTGCCACGAAGATAGAGAAGATTCCGCAAGCCATCTCTTCTGCTTCCAGTGTTGTAGCTCTCCTGTCCACTGGCATATCTTTCAATCCCTGCGAACGAAAAAAAAGGATCTGCTTCTCTCTCCAAAACAACAACTAACTAACTTTACTTCGCGAGTGTCCGGGCCGATCGTGTACATAGTGTATGTAGCGCATGCGGCGCACGGCGCACTTTCGCATGACATGACACGCATTTTTGCACAGCGGCTGCCGCTAGATCGCGCAGCACGTTTGTACTTCGGATTTTGCGATTTTTTCGACGGCAATGGCTTCCTTTGTGAGTTGTCTACCTACGATGTATACTTTGGAAAGCGATATTCCGTACAGAAAGTACCAAAAAATCCAGGAAAAGTAGGCCTTTCAATTTTTCGAGCTGGAGGTAAAAAGTGCCTGGCAGGGAGGGGGTGTACAGCTCAGCTGACAGCCTGGCAGGGAGCGCCTTGTCACCTTGAGTGGTCAGCTGGCAGTGAAAGGGTTAACACTATAGCCGATAATAATATAGTGTGTTACGCATGTTTTGATTCTTTGTTGCCATCATAATACCCGATATAATATTATCATTACATCCGATAATATTGGTTATAGTGATATTTTTACTGGATAAATTACGTTTTGCTTTTGATATTTCGTACCAATATCACTGTAGCCAATATATTCTTTTATCGCCTTCTTAGGGTGCGTTCTTAAATCCTCTCGGAAAAGTTGGAGACTCTCCGAAAAGCTCGAGAGCTGTTCTTATATCCTCTCCGAATTTTAGGAGGCTCTCCAAAGCTCTCCGAGCTCTCCAAGCTTCAGAGGTGGTTGAAACTTGGAGATTCCCGCGGTTTGGGATCAGCGCATGCGAACTAGGCTAAAAGCCACGTGTTGATCATGAGTGTACGCATTTCCCTTTTCGCATACGCACAGCGCATACTATATTCGTGGCACTCCAGATCGCGGCCCCTTTGGCGCTTCATTTTGCTTGACATCTGCAAAATATCTCCGAATTCGTCGAGACCCGTTCTTGAAGAATCCCAGTTTCTTCGACTTCTCTTTTCTTCTTCTCCTAGAAGCTAGAGAATTTAAGAACGCACCCTTAGTATTTGACCCCACTAATTTCCCTGATACCTAAGCGGTCAAATATATCGCGTATTTGACTGCTTAGTCAAATACACGATATATTTGACTACTTATATTTGACTCCTTAGAACTTCTTGGACTTAGAAATTTTCTCTCCAACTTAGAAAAAGAAATTTTTGAAGAAAGCAGAAATACACAAGATGGGATTTGAACCCACAACCTTGTGAATCTCAGTCACTCTTCCTTACCACCCAGCCACTGTGCTACCGATGCTGAACCTAGTTTAAACAATGATCTTGACTTTCAATGCAGTACAATGCGGTATAGGCTATAGTATAATACTAGAATTACAAGGATCTGTCGTACACGAAGAGAAACTATTGCGTGGAGAACACGATAAATAGATTATAGACCTCATAGTTGGTCTATACAGGATATATAGACCTCGTAAAAGACCTCGGGGGACCTCGGTCTTTTACTCGGTCTATATATCCTATATAGACCTCCTAACCGGTCTATAATCTATACATATCCGGTCACTCTATAGCCGATACAGACTGTACAGTGCTGGCAACTGAAATCCGACCCCCTGGGCGGCGCGTTCACTTAATAGCGGCCTCTATTTCGGGTCTTTGCGATGTGAGTGCTCCGCTCAGGGGGTCGGATTTCAGTTGCCATCACTGTAGCATGCTGCGGCATTCATTATGTTGTACCCACCGGCAGTGGCACGATTCTGCTCAAGCTGCTGGTTGGCGCTCATGCTGCTTCTACCCACATCGAGGTCATCGGTGGCGGTGGCGTCGAACAGGCATGTTGTGTCATTTTTGCACGCTCGTCTCGCCGCTTCGCTGATGTTCAGCAGGTTTGTGAAGACGGGCACGTGCGCCGGGAAGGAGAAGTCCGCCGCCGTCAGACCATCGTCATACGTGAACAGGCTTTCGCTTGCGTTGATCAGCCCTGTGCAGATTGAGCAGGATAATAACGATACAATGTACGCATACATGCCGTGCACATGCACATAAGCAGACATTTGAGGCTGTCACACCTTCCATGTTCTTGTCAATGTGGAGTAAGTCCCAAGGGACCTTCAAATTACAACCAGGTTTTATAGAATTCGGATGGGTTTGACATGAGTTCATGCACAGAGTTTTAATTACTACAGGTCAAGACTCAAAAGCACAAAGATAATAACGAATGGAAATGGGTGCGAGAGTATAGAATTTGCCAAAATGAGGTTTTTAAAGGTCTTGGCTCCAGTATTTCTAAAAGCGTGTGGGCTCAGGGTTGACCAGTTGCCCGGGAACTGTGAGTAAAGCTACTTGTGCTTACATGTCTGGCCAAACTGAGAGAAGAGAACGTCCTCCGTGGAATTGGACGCCAGAGTGGTGCCGCCGCGGGTGACGAAATCATCGGCGGAGTCTCCATTGAAGCGACCGAGGAGGCCCGTTGTGTCCCCATGGAATTCAGATGATACTGGACAGAGTGGAACCATACCACACAAACACACAAAATTGAACGCCAATTCGAGCACAGAGATCATTTCTTTGGAAAGGAGCTTTTTTCTCTTTCTCTCAAATAATTTAATAATTTAATTTACAGTGAAACCTGTCCAAGTGGACCGCTCATGGGACCCTCAAAACGTGATCTATGTTACCAGGTGGTCTCCTTATCCAGGGTCATTTGACTGGAAATAGCACCCATTGATCCCGGTTCCAGTGGTCTTCTAGGACAGGTGATTGCCTTATCCGAGTGGTCGCCTTGACAGGTTTTACTGTGTACGAAAGGTCTAATAGACAATCATAGTGCAACACTACGACAAGAGTACATAACCCCCCAGAGTGTGCAACGCCTGATCCAGCTCTGCATAGGATCTTGGTCGAGCAAAATCGGATCTTTGCGTCATAATACCGTACACATCTGAGGGGCACCCCGGAGAGTCGGGAGGACTCTCGGATCAAAAGCAATGGTACCCTGCCTCAAGACAGGCCTTGCGCTGGAGTGGAGTGCACGCATGATATCAGAAGATCCGACTACGCTCGACCAAGACCCTAGTCAAAGCTGGATCAGGCATTGCACACTCTGGGGAGGGGTTATGTACTCTTGACTACGACGGTTCTGAATTCCGAATTCCTTGTTATAGTCTAGAGTAAAGGTCACAACATACTTGGTCACAAAACCTGGGGCTGTCCCCCCCCCCCCCCCCCCCACCCCTCCCCACCATCACCCGGGGCTGTGCCCCAGCCCACCTCAACAAAAGGAATTACACTGGAAATAATTATGCTCTCGACATGAAAAACAAAATAAGCCAAGGAAGGTCTGAAACCGAAAACCACCAAAACTACAATGCAATTCTTACGTATTCGCTGGTTTGAGG